CCCACGTGAAGGAATCACTTGGGGAGGATGAAAAGCAATGACTCAGCTTTGGCCAAGACCTTCCCTCCTACCCTAGGTTGGAGGATTTGGACTTTTAATTGGGCATTTAAACAGCGTCCCCAGGACAGCAGAAGTTGCAAGGACTATCTCAGGAGCTAAGGACAGAATGGATTAAGGTTCAAGGCTCTACAAAGAGCCAAATAGAAAAGCTACATCATACCTAAGGGAAATATCTTGAGTACTTTAGCAAAAAGACTTCCATGTGCTGTAAATTAATCCTTTGTCACATGTGCTCTCTAAGCCTGAGCCTACTTTCCCTGGGACTTGTGGGAGAACATATCACAGACTTCTGTTGGAATGTTTTGTACTAGCCATTCTTACTATGAAACTATAGTAAATACTCCTTCCTAAAAGGGGATTAAGATTGACTAATTGATACCAACTGATAGTCTTGGGAGAAGCACCCTCATGGGGTGCCATAGTATTAACAAGATAATTCCCAACTTCTCAGGATGCTTTTAGGGTCCTGAGAGGACATAGTGGTTGTGCTCTGGGGATCTGCATCAGTGATAGTGGGGGTTGTAATAGTCACCCAACTATGTGCTACATATGGGAGCTCATCTAAGATAACTGTTGGGTCTTTTGCACTTGTGAGGACCCCCTGGAGAGATTCTCTGCTTGGATAGCTTTATTTTGAGTTTCATTAGAAAAAAATAGCATATTTTGCTTTCTTTTGTTGTAGAATGTTATTGAACGGTCTGTTTTCTGGTGTGTTTCTATAGAAGTCAGAGCAGTTTCTTTGTCATAACTTTTACTTATTTGAATGAATAGATTACTAATTTTATATTGTATTACTGAATATTTTAGAAGTATTGATTTTGAGGTTGAGATGAGAAGTAGGGATTTGGAAATGATGACACACTAGTGTAGAAAGTGAGTTGGGGTAGTTGCCTCAGACCCTGTGCTACACATGCAAATAAAAGGAAGACAATTAGAAGCACCTCTCTACTGCCCCTTCCCTCTCCCAGCACAGTGATGGACTTTGGTGATAGATTTATGAGATGAGTCCCATGTGATGGGTAACCATAAGCTGCAATCTGTATCACTGGAGGGAATACCGATGTTAATGATCAACTGGATCAATCGATTGGAGGAGGTTCTGGTCTTTGATTTACTACTTACTAGTTGTGTGACCTTGTATAAGTCTTTTAACTTTTGAGCCTCAGTTTCCTTTTCTGTAATAGTGGGACAATAATGCCCACCTCATCTACCTTATATGGGCTTTTTGAGGATCAGATGAGATAACAGATGAGCTCAGTCTTAGACAAATCTTACATTTTATACAGTTGTGAGGCATTATTTCTCACAAGGTGCCTGGGAGGTTTGCGTCACACTTTAAGAGTTTGTAGTTTCTGGTAACACCCACGTCCTTCCTTAGAGAGCTCTCTTAGGAGCTATCAAATGAGCAGTGATGTGAGGATAGCCATCCTTGCTGGGAGAAATGAGTGATGACCCTGCATCAAGGACATAGGCATGAAGGTCACAACCTGACCACAGGCTGGTGGCTGATGGGAGGAGAACCACAGTGAGGGAGAATGGTCTATTCAGAAATTGACAGAAAACTTCCAAGTAAGCAATGGCAATAGCTTACGAGGGGAAGTGGTTCAGCAGGGACAAACCCAGACATCCAGAGATGTGTGTGCTTTCAAGGAGGACATGCACTAAGGGACTGGTTTATGTCTCCTTCATCAGAAGGGGAGCTCATTAAGGATGAGAACCATGACCTCATCACTATACCTGGAAGTCTCCAAGAATGGGGGTTCTGTAATTCTTCCATCAACCCAGCAGTTAGGACTATTTTTCTTCAGATGAAATTGTAACACAGGGTAAAATATCAAATAGTTTCCTCAGGTTGACTAACTTTGGTAGCATAGAAAAGAAATAATACTGAATTTTGAACTAGTTGACCTGATTTCGAATTCAGGTTTAACATTTACTACTATGTAACCTTGGGCAAATCACTTACCCTCTCTGGGCCTCAGTTTCCTTGTCTGGGAAATGAAATGATCAGACTGGATGTTGTCTGAGGTAGTTTCTAGCTCTAAAAGCTCTGATCCTTGGAAGGCTCATACCTCCATCTCTTTAGGGAGAATGCTTGGTATTATTCATGTGAATAAAAAGAAAAGACGTAAATTCCAAATTGGTAGCTCTTCACAGTTGCATCAGACTTTCAAAAACATATGTCTATAAAAAAACATGTGCCTATTTCTGAAAATTATCTCTGTTCTCTCTATGTGTTTTTAGGTTTAAAGAAGATGGTGACTGGCACATAGCTGAACAGTTATTTCCTGCACCTCAAATCTATTTCTGTTTCCCAGAACTAAATGATGCTCCAAGTAATTTCATTTTCTGAGGCAATGTGAAGAAATTTTGTCTTTAGGTTTGACAATGAAAATATTGGCATGAAAGGGGACAGCAGTTGTTTGAAAATGCAAGATTTATTTCTGCTAAGTTTAAAAGCATGTATGAACCCACAAGTCATTGAATATTGGGGTTCTCACGCACATGTAAGTTAATAGCTCATCATATCAAAGAATCATAGAATAATTTGAGTTGGAAGGGTCTTCAGTAGCCACCCAGCCATGACCCCCAAAGAAATCATCACCATGATGAACCTGAAAAGTGGTTATCTAGGCAGCCTCTGCTAGAAGAGCACCATTGGAAGGGGAATCCACTATCTTTTCTGGCAGTTCATTCCAGAGGACTAGCACCTCGGAGGTGAGGGCTTGCAAAGCCCTTTTCAGGGCTGTGCATCCATCTTTGATGTCCACCTGATTAACCCAACTCTCACTTAGGGCTCCATGAAGCTGTAGTATGCACAGCAGCTACACCCTGGTAAACTACCTCAGCACGGGGGCTGAACCAGGTTGAGAGTAACAGATAGCCCTCAAACCCATTGGTAAGTTAGCGGGATGTCTACCTCAAACATGTGTAGACTTTCATCAATGGAAGGGGCAGATAAGAACAATTTGTTCCAACGGCCATGAAGGCAGCTGAAACAGGCTCTGTGGAGTGCTCAAGGCTTAGTCAGACATCAAAAATGCCAAGGTCATCTACTGCATCTTGAGTCATCACCAGTCATTTTGACTTTTGTCTTGCCACTGGACTTTGATGACTTGGGAAGAGAGAGTGAACCTGACAACTTCGTGCAACACTGGTATGTGTTGGGATATTTACTGAAAAGATACAACAAGAATAGAAGTGCAAATACATTCCTCTGAACCAGGGCACCTTCTCCCCTCTACCACCTTGGTCTCTGCTCACACTTAAAAAAGTTGCTACAAATATTTCCATCATTAGGTTTGTGCATGGGTGCAGTGTAACTGATGCTTGAGGACACAGGTCTTGGCTGTTGGGTTGGTCCACTGTTGGGCTGGGTCAAGTGGGTCACTCCTTCCTGGCTACTGGACCTCTGGTGGTTATTGCAGTCTTTTAAAACTCACAAGATTACAATCTGGTCCACTCCATCTCGGATACGCATTCACCTAAGATCAGGAAAGAAGAAACACAGCAGGGGCAGATGAAATAGTAGTTCCATATGTTCAGTGCCAATTTCTGGCTTGGATGGAAAGAGTAGGCCCCTGGCATTGTTTCTCTGTCAACCAGGAGGCTTATAGCAGTTTTTGGCTACCAGGGAAGAGAGAGCAATTTAGCTTCTTTTCCCGTGTATGCTTAGTTCTAACTGAGCAGATAGTTAAAAAGCTTTTCTTCACCTTGTAGCAAACACTCAGGACATAGTCACAGAATACCTGTTCTAAGGATGTTCTAAATGTTCTAAGGATGGGCATCCCCATGGGTTAGATCCCATTACAACAGTATACTTTTAAAGGCTTGAAGCAGCTAAGTGAGGCCTTGGGTTTAAGATCTCTGACCTAGTCTAGCCTCCCTTCTCTCCTCCTTCCCTCCTTTCCTCTCTCCTTCCTTCTTTCCTTCCTTCTTTCCTTCCTTGTTTCTTTCTCTTTCTTTTTTTCTCACTGGAAGTATAGTTGCCACTTATATACCTGAAGCCACCTTTGACTCCCATAGAAACTTTGACTTGCTCTGTTTCTATACTGGAATGATTTGCCCCTTCTTAGGCAACCTGGTGGCTCCTCTCCCCTGCCCACTACTAGGAGGATCACTATAATGGTGCCTGGCTTGTTACAAACATCCTATTGACTTTAGTCCCCATTGTAGCTCAGAACTCTTGAGCTCAAGTGATCCACCAGCTTCATTGGGGATTACAGCCATGTACCTCGATGTGCAGCCCTTCATTTTTAAGATAAGGAAATAAAAACCCAGAGAATTCAAGTGACATAGTCAAGGTTAATCAGCTTGGTAAAACCAAGCTACCTGACTTCCAATTCATGTGACTTTCACACAAGGACCATTTCCATCTACACGCTGACCTAATCCTTCACTTTCCACCCCTTCTCCCATCAATACTTAATACTTTCGCAATACATTGGAGTGAATCTGAATAAGTTGAGGGGAACCACAGTTCCTAGAAATAACTCTAAAAATGCCAACTCTTCACGCTGGGCCTCTCTAACAGTGGTTGTATAGAATTTTGGAGTTAAATATCCCTACCACAGAACTCCTTTCACTTCCACCCTCATGCCCACTGGCTGTGGTACCAGTTCTGCTTGGCAACAGTGGCCTAGTTCGTTAATGATCTGATGGCAAAGACCAGGATGAGCCAATGTCAGTTGGAGTGGGGGAGGTGGTAGGAGTTCATGTGTGTATATAGGGACATGTTTTCCATCAGGGCTTTGAGTAGGATACAAGGTATACTTTTTGGAGGAGAACCTGGAACTTCTCACGCATTGATTTTCCTCTCTCAAACATAACTAGATCGCTCCTTTGCTTGCAAGGTAGGTATTAGCATTGCTGATTCTGGCTCCCATGGATCCCTGGGTCTGGAAGGGGGTTTAATCTCAGAAATGGAAATCTCTTGACAGGGGGCAAGTCCAGCAGCCTGGACGGAGTCTGGAGACCATTCAGGATGGAGACTCAATGGAAGAGACAGTCCTCCTCATTCTGGCTGCTCATTCTGGGGATATTTGTTCTGACAAAGACCCAGGCAGGTGAGTCTGAAGGCTTAGGGGTAAGAAGAGAGCTGAGAATGTAGAACTCCCATTTTCTAGGATTCTTAACATCTTTCCCCTGGCTTGGATCCCTTTGGTGAAGGTCTAGTGAAGCCTATCGACCTCTCTCAGAAGAATACTTTTAAATGCATAAAGTAAAATATATAAAACTACAAAGGAAACCAATTTTATTGAAAATTAGTTTTCAAAATATTTAAAGAACAGGTTCACAAACCCCAGGTTAAGAACTCGTGGTAGAAGATAGAGTATAGGAAATCTTGGGTACAAATTCTACTGCAGACTCCTACTGTGTGACCCTGGGCAAGTCATGTAACACCTCAATCTCTTTCCTCATTTGTAAAATGGAGATGATAGAAAACTGGCTTCAAAATCAGGAAGATGGGGGTATCAGTCTACCTTTTGACACATACTGCCTGCATTACCCTGGGCAAGTCAGTTAACCTCTTAATGATGAGGTTACAAGTGGGAGGTGGAGAAGGTGCTGCCCTATATTAGTAGAAGGAGTTGTGAGTTCCCTATGTCAAAGAAATCACGAACTCACAAAAATTAAAAAAAAACAATAGGGAAAATAATAATTGGAGATCTTTCTTCACAGAGTTGCTCTGAGACCCAAATGAGAGAATTATTGGAAAGTTCTTTCCCAACCTTAAAGCCCTCTATAAATATCAGTTGTTATTTTAATGCCCTGATCTATCCTCCAGAGGGAGATCTGTCTGGCCTGATTTCTGCTATCTTCTCTCTGGCTAACTTTCCTTTACTATGAACTAATCAGTCAACCAGCATTTATTAAGCATTTACTTTGCCTTTCAGACCTGATGCTTAGTGTTGGGCCTGCAAACAAAGACAAAAAACTACAAAATAGTCCCTGCCCTCAAGGGGCTTACATTCTAATCACCATTCTCCCCCAAAGTCTATCTCCATTGGATTCTTGACCTTTCTTCACTCTGTTCTCTGGTCTTTTTTCTTACCTATTCTCTTCCTGAAAATGCATCATGAGCACCTAATTCAAAGACACAAACTCTATTCTGGGGTGAGGGGAACTAAAGTTATAGCCTTTATATAGATAAGCTAAAGGCAGCATCATCATATAATTCCCATTTTCACCAGCAGACCTTTCTTCTAGCCCTAGGCCTTGAGGTGACTGTCTTCTCTTTCCTGGTTACTCTGTCTGCAGCCTCTAAGTCTGGGCCTGGTTCTTTCCTTAGCTTTTGAGGCCCCTGGAGAAGCTATATTCCTTTCTGTTTGGAGCCCAGATCCACTCTCTTAGTTTCAGGTCAAAATTGCTCTCTTTGAAGCCACTTGACTCACAAATATCTTTGGACCCTGTCCCCTTACATCCCTTGAGCTGACTCTTCTCTCTTCTGGGCACACAGTATCCAACCCCTCATTTCTCCTGAGTTAAACCTCCAGTCTCCATCAGTGCATCTTTGGCTTTCCCCAGCTCTCTCACCTCTCTTTTCTCTCTTTTCTTATTCCACAAGCTAGCTCTAATTTCTTTTTCATCATAACTTAATTATTTTGTTCTGCTTCCACTTCATACCAGGAATCACTCTGGCCCCATTTCCTTCTTGTAAAATTTCCCCAAACCCTTATCTGCTGGGCACGGATTTCATTTGACTTTTCAGTACTCTGGACAACTCTCAAAGAATATGAGTTGAAGAGAAGGTGCTGACTTGCACTGGTAGAGGGTTATCCAGGTCAATGAAATCACAGATTCAGGCTCTATCCCCTATTGCAACTCCATTGGACAGTGCCTAGCACAGAGTAGGAGCTTCATAAATGATTGATTCTCATCATACTTGCTGAATGTTGTGGTTAAATGCTACGTCATGACTTGGCAACATTAACTTACTTAGATACTGTACTGGCTTCCCTTTTTCTTTTCATTGAATTTAATAAAATTTACAATAAAGAATAAATTTCAATCAACCAATCAACCAATAAGCATTTATTAAGCACCCACTGTGTGCTAGATGCTAGGTATACAAGGACAAAATTTAAATAGTTCCTAACCTCAAGGAACTTATGTTCTAAAGGGGTATCAACTGTATACAGATATAGGTCCCATACAGTGGCAGAGTAGATACAAGGTCATCTCAGAGAGGAAGGAATTAGGAGCTAGGGTGTGGGGAGAGAAGGGAGAACTGAGAAATATCTCTTTTCCCAAAAGGGAGAAGCCCTAGAAGGGGCTGCTTGAGTTGAGTCTAGAAGGACTTAAAATTAGAAAACAGATTTTAAGAAGAGGAGATGAGAAGGGAGAGAAGTGGGATTAGAAGAGAGAGAAAAGGGAGGTGGCAGAGAGCTGGGGAAAGCCAAAGATGTACTAATGGAGACTGGAGGCTCAACTCAGAGAAAATGACTTGTAGGCATGGGGTAGAGCCAGTGCAAAGGCATGGAGATAGGAGATAGAACATTACATGAAAACAAATTGGCAACTATGGGTGGACCACAGATAAGAAGACTGGGAAGGGGGCAGCTAGGTGGCATAGTAGATAAGCACTAGCCCTGGAGTCAGGAGGACTTGACTTCAAATGTGGCCTCACATACTTACTGGCTATGTGACCCAGGACAAGTCACTTAACTGCATTGCCTCCTAAAAGAAGAAGAAAAAAGATTGGGAAAGCATGAAGGGCCTAGGTTGTGAAGACCTTTAAATGCCAAACAGAGGACTTTATATTTGAGCTTAAAGATAATAGAGAACCACTGGAGTTTATGGAGTGTGTGTGTGTGTGTGTGTGTGTGCGTGTGTGTGTGTGTGTGTGAATCAGGCTTGTATTTTGGGAACATCACTTTGGCAGCTATGTGGGGGATAGATTTGAAGTGGAGAGAGGCTAAAAGACAGGTGGCCAGTTAGAAAACTATTGAAATAGTCCAGGTAATAGGTGTTGAGGAGGTCCCCTGTACTAGAGTTGTGTCTGTGTGGGAGGGGAGAAGGATACACACACACACACACACACACATATACATATTATGTATGTATATATATATATATGTATGTATTTATTAGAGATGTTGTAGAGGTGAAAGCAGTATGATTTGACATGATGGGATATGTGAGGTAATGGAGAATGAGGAGTCAGGATTTTCCTGAGGTTGTACACCTAGGTGGTGGTGGTGTCCTGCATGGAAGTGGAGGTTCAGAAAAAGGGTGGGTTTTTGGGGAATGACAATGAGCTCTGTTTTGAAAGTTGAGTTTGAGATGCCCATGGGACCTGAGGACAGATAGCATGCCTAGCACATAGTAAGTGCTTAATAATGTTTGTTGAGTGACTGACTGGAAAGAGCATTGAATTTGGAAGTCTGGGATAAGGAAAGCAGTTTGAAGGGTTTGGAGTTCCCCAAAGTCACACCCCTACTGACTGTCAGAAGGATCTTGCCTTTGAAACTTACCATGTGTGTGATCTTGGGGGAGTAATTTCACCTTTTAGAGCCTCAGTTTTCTTATCTGTAAAATGAGAGAGCTGGAATGGGTGATCTGTAAGTTTCACCTTTGAGTCTATGATCTTTCAACTGCTTGTGATCCTTAAGGTACATTCAAATTGTATATTCAAACCTACACACACATAGTCTTTGCATTTATAGTCTCTTAATTTTGTTTTCACTTTGGATTGTTTCATATAGACCAGTAATTTTTAAACTTTTGAGTATCAGAACTCATTTTTTAAGGTAAATTCCCTTTCCTCTCCACTAACCACCATGATAGTAGGTGTACTTTTAGTATTTACTGATTGAGAAGATCTATTTTTTCAAAAGTTGCCATGAATTCAGTACCAATCCTAAGTTAATCTTTAATTTATTAGTTGCAACAGCATCTACCTACATAGGGAAAACCATGTGACATGTATTTGTATCATTAGTCTACATACAGGGTGTTTGCTTATTTATCATACAGAGTTCTTTAATGAAATGGACCCTTGAAACACTTCTGTCAGAGCTGAGAGTCCTGACACACACAGATAGGGAACCACCAATGTGGACTTTTCCATTTTTTTTATGTTCTTCCTGTTAATCATTTTTTGTGGCCTGCTTCCATAGATTTTCTGCAGCCTGGTCATTCCCTGATTGTTGGGCCTTCAAGGTTGTTTCCAATTTTTCACTATTATAATACAGTTGGTATGGAAGGAGGTTAGTATGGGAGTTAGGAGACTTGGGTTCTGTTATTGATTCTGTCATTAATGGATCAGGTGATTTTGTGCAAGTCCCATCCTCTCTTTTGAGTTTAGTTTATTTATCTTCAAGGTGAAGGATTAGGCTATGTTTTATTAGTCTGTACAGCTTTGATAGTCTTAAATTTTTTTTTAATTTATGGGATAAAATAAGCATTTCCATAATCTGGTATAATAAAAAAAGATTGTACATGTAACTGAAAATCTTTTATGTACAGCTTGATATTCCATTTACCTATATAATAAATTTCTTTTTTCCTTTTTTTCTTCTCTCTCTCTCTCTTTCTCTCCCCAAATGGCTACCATTAGAAACAAATAGGTATATATATTATATAAGTATATAATTATTGTATACATACTTCTATTTTATCAGTTCTTTCTCTGGATATTGATAGCATCTTTCTTCATATGTGCTTTGTAGCTAATTTGGGTATTTATAATAGTCAAAATGACAGTCACTGAAAGTTGTTCTTAAAATAATACTGCTATTACTGTATACAATGTTCTCTTGGTTTCACACTCCAGTATTTTGTGCAAGCCTTTCCATGTTTTTCTAAAATCATTGAGGTCGTAATTTCTTATAGCACAGTAGTATTTCATCACAGTGATATACCACAATTTGTTGGTTTTTTTTCATAAAGTTCCCTCCCAGGTCTGATATTCTAAGGTCCCCTCTGGTTCTCATATACTATGTTCTATGTTGCTTCAGCTCCAGTCTATGAGCAAATTATCCTTTTAATTTATTTTCTATTTCTTGGGATATTGTTTCAATATAAACTAGTTTTGTTACTCTTTTTGTTAGTGGCCAGATTT